GAACCAATCCTTGAATTCCAGTTGGAAGTCTCTTTTGAAGAGGACTTCTGCTCCTGTTCCTTCTGGCCACTTCACCTCACCCGGACCTCCTCCCTCATCCCTCCCCAGCCAATCTCTTTCAAAATCTTGTATATATTTTTGGATATCCTTTCTCTGTTGGAGCATATTTAACTTAATTTTGAGTTTTGCCCATTGAGAACGAATCTCTGTGTGCAACATTTCTATCAAAATTGAAATTGTTTCTTTAATATCTAATCTGACTTGTTCTCTTTCATGAACGCATTGTCTATACCAGATTGTCCAAAGCATCATTGTACGCCCCACCATATATAGGTTGTGTTGAAAAGAGGAGAGTTGGGCATTTGTAGGTTCAAGATGGCCCAGAAGTATACTCCTCCAATCCCATAGCCACACTTTTCCTGTAAGTTTGTTCCATCTGAAGTCCCAATGTCTCCATAAAAAAACCGTACTAGGACATTGCATAAAGATATGCTCAATCGTTTCACATATTTTTCAGTTGGGATATGCTAACAAGCAAAATTTGCACCATGCCTCAAAGCTTCTACCTCTTTGACCATCGCATCTAGTTTCCGTTGCATGCTAGCTGCTTCTTCCAAACGCACCTTCATAGCTTCCTGTTCCCGAAGCATTCTGCAAATCAGATCGCCATTGTCGGTGTTCTTTGCCACTGTGGAGGAAGATGCGCCTTGAATCTGCAACTTCTGCAAGCGTTCTACCTCCTTGCGAAGTGTTTCAACTTCAGATTTAGCGTCTCCCCCATTCTTCTTGTTAATAGACTCGTCCATCTTGTCCATTCGTGAATTCATAGTCTCCATCATCTGTGCTTGAAATTCTTCCCTATCTTTCTTCTCACGGCTACGCCGCTCCTCTTCCTCCTTCTCTTTCTGCTTCTTCTCTTCTTCTTCTTTCCGAGTCTTCTCTCTCTCGATCTCTGCATCACGTCGAATCTTCATCTCTGCAACAGTGCTTTCCAGTATGATCAACCTCTGTTTTGCGTCGTACCATCCGGTATTCTTGTACTGTGTGGCCACGACTCCGACGTTAGAATTAGAGGAAGAGGAAGGTAGAGTGAGAAGAGGAGTAGAAGCAGTAGGAACGAGAGCGTTACTTGGATTAACTCCCTGCTGACGATGAGGACACCACCTCGCGAAGTGACCGGGATCACCGCAGTTGAAGCAGGTACGTACAATTGTCGAAGTCGGAAGATTAGACGCCATTTCGAGTTGACTAATGACAGCACCTCAATAAGCTTGAATAATGCAAAGCCACTCACTGCGTAGTACAATTCCTACGCCGGTTACTCCGGAAAAGCAAGTTGTCGGTGTGACAGACAGCAACTGCGGATGGGCGATGACCAGCCGACCAAGAAACATACGCCATGCAACAATGGCAAGCTCACTTGTGCCAGGAGAAATAAGGAGGAAGAAGCACACGAAGAAGAAGAAGAAGAAGAAGAAGAAGAAGAAGAAGAAGAAGAAGAAGAAGAAGAGGAAAAAGATGGGAGGGAAGAAGAGATTACGCCGAAGTGAAAAGTAAAACCCCAAACGCGACTTCAATCAAAAAATGTAACATGAAGCAAGGCAGAGGACCCGACTAGTTTCGACTGGTCCGCCAAACCAGTCCTCATCAGGGGTCTTGGTCGTCGCTGGTGACGTTTACAGTGCACTAAGGCATATTTATATCCTGAGAGAACACTCTATAGTCACTTCAGCCGAAAAAGTATAATGGACTACCAGGTATTTGAACTTCTGTCCTCCACTGCAAACTACCGCGGCCAATCTCCATGTTACCGCTTCAACAACAAGGGTTCGAGGTCTGTGCAAAAGACAAAAAACAAAAAACAAACAACAAAAAACAAAACAAAAGGCAAAAAGTAAAAACAAAGGGACTGTCGGAAAAAATCAAGTAGCGAACCAGAACTGGTACCGTACCGGGCTCTTCTCGAAAGTGGCGGAAGTAATCTGTAGGTTCGAACTGGCCTAGACATCGCGGCCGTGGCCCAGCCGCGGGTGTGGCCTAGACATCGTGGCCATGGCCACGCGTAAAAAAAAAAAAAAAAAAAAAAAAAAAAAAAAAAAAAAGAAAAAAAAAAAAAAAAGAAAAGAAAAAAAAGCACAACCGCCTTAACGAAACCATCAGCCTGACACCACTGCCGGCCTGAGTTACAACCGCCTTTTCGAACTCAGGTCATGACAAAGTTGCCGACAGCCTGTTTTTTCTGCCTTTGCGAACTCAAAGCATGCCGCGTCCCCGTTGTTTCAAAAATAAATTAGTTAAGAAAGGTTTTTTGTCTCTCACTCTCGTTTCCCTCTTTGGGTGTCCTTCTTCTCTCTCTCACTTTCTCTCTAAGACTTGCACTTGATCAACCCCTTTCTCGTTCAATGCCTCCTGTGAACCGTTTCTTTTATTTACAATTGATCGTACGTGGTCGTGGAGAGACTCAGATGCATATGAATATAAGAGAGGAATTGCAGATTCTTTACCCTTTCTGCACACTTCTGTTCATTAGCGATTAGACTCTCATTCTCGTGAAGCGCCCCCCGCACGCGCACCTAGATTGGCATTCGCGATTGCATGCTCGTGCTGGGGGGATGCCACCACTTACGAACGACGTTTGCAAGTCTGTCTCGCGAACTGCAGATCCCTGGTCCGGTGTCTCCCCGTGGTCTGGGGAGTCGTGGGGACAGCTCCTTCCCTCTCCCATCCGCAGCGGTCACCTAGTATGCGTCCCCCTGTTCTCCCTCGTTCATCCGCAGCGGTCACCTAGTATGTGTCCCTCTGGGAACCCATGCTATCTCAGCATGCTCGCCCCAGTTGGCTGCAGACTGCAGTCCGCTTGCTCACACGAACGGACACCAATGAGATCTCCCTAGCTGCGGAATTCTGGTCTGCTGTCCAGCATCACCAGCGGTAAGCAGTGGCCAGTACACTGTGCACCCCAGACACGTGTATGAAGATACCCCTCATTCCCAGTTCTCAGATTGCCTGTTTGTACCCTGCAGCAATGAGCAGCGTTCGAGATAGTACACTGGGTACACTGGCATCATTGACCGAAGTTCACCCAGTTGACAGGAGCTGGCTGGTTCCACCAGCAATTAATTTGCTTCCTCAATGGCAAGTTGTGACCGGGAGGCGGACACACAAAGCACGTGTGTTTCGAGGGTTCTGCCCCTTGTGCTTGCGAGCTCTGATCGTGACAAAGGATTTGCTGCGTACGTCGGACACACTGTTTTCCCCCATTCCGAATGAATCCCTCTCAGCTCTGCTGGTCCTCTCTATATCCGCAAGCTTAGGGAGTCTTGTAGCACAGGTCCCTGGCCTCGAACGGATTGTGGGTAACGAAGGTACCAGCAGCAGCGAAGCTACAGGTCCGGAAAACGATACCTACAGGCCCGAGAATAAAGTCTATTCATAGCACCTATTACCAACGGTACCTGTGGTTCTAAGGCTACAGGCCTGGCGTAGCCGCACCCACTATCGTCATGAAATCATTGTCCCTCTCCACCATATTCGAGCCAATTGTCGTGACTAGAACCAGTATCGCTGAACCATCGAACCCACTGCTGTACTCAGTGACCGTACCAAGGAATAATAACATCGCCACAATGTACCTTACAAGTACCAAACCAGCGATCGTACCGCCGTGACCAGGCTGCCGTAACCAGAAACCAGTATCACTGGTCCAACCGCTAATGTAACCAGAGTATGTCACATAGTCGTGTTGGAATAAATACCGCTCAATGATTGAGTGTTACTGCAGAAGGTCCACCGAGTCTCCGCACGATACATAGCAAGCCACGCGAATGTGGTAAATTCTGGGCATTGCACACTTCATAACTCATGGGTTATAACAACAAGGGTAATAATTTCGCAGCCAGGAGGCTGCGCTTGTGTGGATTCCATTTTCATCGTTTCATGTTCTTTCTATTTTCGGTAAGGTCGTGCAGTACAGCTTCGCTAGGACGGGTTCGTTTGAGGTCTCCAACAGCAGAAAAAAGGGTCCGGTCGCAGTCGTCCCTAAGACCGGTTGTAGGGCAGGTTACTTTGTCAAGGTCGTTGCAATTTAGAATAGGGCGCCGGATAGAGCTTTTTTCCCATGGGTTTGGGCGGGCGATTTGGGTCTGTTTCTCTTCTACTGCATCTTCCCAGAAATACAGCATCCAAGCATTCTGCCGTTTGTTACCAAGTAACGAAATCTAGAAGGGACTGCAAGAAAAGAAAACAAAAAAAGAAACGTACTTACCTTTGCCACGAGAGCTGTGGAGATAGAGGGCCTTGCTCCACTACTGACCAAATGTGCACAATGAGCATGAATCTTCTGGTAGAACATAGGTAGATACACTGCTAGTAGTTTAGAGCTTGAAATGCCCTTTTTCCTGGCACCGTGTGGGGTGGTACAGCCCTCAGTCTCTTGCTATTCATTTTTCAGTTTTTTTTATTTTTTGTTTTCTTTTTCTTCTCCGATCCAAGAATCTGGGCTCCATCCAGCGGCCTAGCTCAGTTGGTTAGGCACGCAAGTGGCATTCAGGAGGTTGTGGGTCCAATCCCCGCCATGGCACTCCTGATGCCAACCAACTGAGATAATCAGCTGGATCCTCCCAGTCGGTATCAGTATGGGCTTCAGCCAACATGGGTGTGAGTGCGCATGTGAGTGGGTTGCGTGTGGTGTGTGGGACAGTGTTGGCTTTAGATACAACCATCCATTAGGCTGCCCATCCCCACTTCATAAGACCTTTGCCAAGCTTACTAGCGTCTCCCGGTGCATAGATTTCACTTACCGCACCCAGATCAGAACTTCATCCTCGTCCCATCTCCCTGAAACTACCCCTCCTCCCACCTCCCCCTTCCCCCAAACCACTCCACCACCCCTCCACTACCTGCAACCCCCCTACCCCTCCACCCCCTATGCCCAGGGAGAAGCGACAAAGAGACAGGAAGGCTGCCAGTAACAGATCCCAACGGAAAGCAAGAGCTACAAATCCACATCGCCAGGCGGAATCAAGGGCCAACAAGCACAGAGGCGAGGCAAGCCTGATGCAGTGGAACCACAAAAGACAAGGCAGAGGGTGAAGAGCCGTGATGGGCCAAGGCACTCAGCAAGGAGGACAGCCAGTCAGCCCACCTGCTCAGGACACCAAACACAGAAACCAGAACCGGGAACCGGGGGCGAAAAAGGACCCTTCGACAGGGGAAGACCTTAAGAAAGACTTGTGCAAATATCCCTGCCCAGTGCCCTTTTATCAAACCAAGGCTCTCAGCAAGCTCGGTCACCCTCTTAGGATTAGCATAGTGGACAAGCAATCCAGTAACCTAGATTGTGAACAGACCATCATCATCCTGGGTCAATAGACCAAATTAGACACAGACATCACTAAAACGAATCTGTTCTGTTCAAATCATTCAAACTTTTACCACAATGTTCAGGGACGCTGGACCCGCTTTCCAGCAGGTGCTGCTCCCCACCAATAGATGGAGCCTCCCCGGGAGTGCTAGAGGTGTCTGCTCTTACCAGCACCCCTAGCACCCTCCCGGGTTGTTTTGTGTATAAAAAAAAAATAAAAAAAAAAGAACATAAATACCCGAATGGCTGTGTCCCCGTGTCAAACGCGGTATAACAGTAGGTAAAAGCAGAATAAAATCAGCGACGGCATAAGTGGGTAGGAAATGTTAAATAATAAAATAATTAGGCTATTTTTCGGGGCGCCCGGGCACCCAACTTGTGCCAGGATACATGCCCGGGTGCCCGGCTGGGGCCTCGGCCCACTACACAGCGTTGCGTTTAGTTGCGACAGCTTTGCGACTCCTAAGAGTCCTGGATTGTGAAAAAATCCAGCGGTCGTTGGATATGCGCGCGGAGATGGCAGCTTTGGAGCCCACACCGGACGTTTTCATTGGCAAAAAGCATGTCAGCGCAGCACACGCCGAGGCCCGCGGCGTTTAGTTTACTATCGTCAAAAATGTGTCATAGCTAACTAAACGCCCTAATTCCTCTTCGGTCGAATTTGCGGGCAGAATAGGCCTTCGCATGAAGGCTTTTCGTTTATTTGTGGCGGGTTCTTGTGTGTGGGCCGTTCTTGTGTGTCATAGCTTTGGGGCACTGACTTCTGGTAACACGTGAAGAGGCAGCAACTCGAAGACCCGTCATGGTGGTTGATGGCCCTCCTGCTGTGCCGATCGGACGGCGTCAAAAGCCTCCCAGTCATTGGC